GGACTTTTAAACCCATTGTACAGATGAGGAAAGAGGTTTATCTAAGGCTACCCAGCTAGTAAGTGACAAACTAAAATTCAAATCCAGGACTGTCAGATTCCAAACCCAAACTTTTAGAAATATATTATTATTTAAATAAAGAAATAAAAATCAAGTGTAAGAAGACTATGCAACTCGAAAGTTTCCTGCACCCAGGCATATTCTTTCTTCAGTTCAATTTGCAAACAATCTAAAATTGCCTTTCATTACTACCCTTACTCAAAATTTTTTACGTGTGCCTTCAAGTTGGTTGATTCTGATTTATAATGACCCTGTAGGACAGAACAGAACTGCCCCTAAAGGATCTCCTAGGCTGTCATCTTTACAGGGCCCTGATGGTGCAGTGGTTAAGAGCTCGGCTGCTAACCAAAAGGTCAGCAGTTTGAATCCACCAGCTGCTCCCTGGAAACTCTATGGGGCAATTCTACTCTGTCCTATAGGGTTGCTATGACTCCACGGAAATGGATTTGGTTTGGTTTTTGGTCATCTTTACAGGAACACGAGCCTTGGTGGTGCAGTGCTTAAAGCGACTGACTGTTAACCAAAAGGTCAGTGGTTCGAAACCACCAGCGGCTCTGTGGGAGAAAGATGTGTCAGTCTGCTTCTGTACAGATTTACAGCCTTGGAAACCCTATGGGGTTATGAGTCGGAATCAACTCGACAGCAGTGGGTTTTGGTTTGGGTTACGGGAGGAGAAAACCAGGTCTTTTCTCTGGTGGAGTTGCTGGTAGGATGAAACTCCAGCCTTTCAGTTAGCAGTCCAGAGCTTAACCATTGTGCCACTAGGGCTCCTTTCCCACTCCTAGGAAGTGCACTTCCCTTAGCCAATTCTTTTCCATGCCTCATGTCTCGGTTTAAGTGCTATTTCCTCAGAAAGAACTCTTGACCTGCTATCTAAATTAGGCCTCCCTGATACTATCCTCTATCAAAGTACCCTGTTCTTACCCTTTTAGACTCTTTTCGTAATCTGTGCATGGGTTTCCCTGAAGTTCCAGAAGC